GATGCCTTGCCAAGCTTGTTCTAAGTAGGTGCTTTAGACCACTGAGCCATCTCTCCAGCCCCGATTCATAATATTTTACCCTCCTATTTTCTTCCTTTTCCCATCTTCTTTTTTGTTGCCATTTGCATATTCAACCTTCTCATCCAGTAAATGTTCCCTTACTAACTTACATCAAATTCTGTCTCCTAAATCTTATTTATTTATTTATTTTTAACTTAATTAAGTTTACCAGTACAATTTATATATACAAATGATCACATTCATCATAGGGACCTTGTAACTGTATGTGATATAGCTTAGTTCCTCTTTTTCTAAATACTTTTTATACTCATCTTCCTATCTCTATTTTACTTCTATGACTTTAGTCTGATACACCATTATTTTTTGCCTGGGCTGCGATAAAATTAGGTTCAATGACTATTTGTTGATAGGTGAGTGAGAGAGGGTTTGATAAGAGCGTGGAGAAGACGTTTGTATTTTCTATTCCAGTTATGAATTTCTATTGCAGTTATGTTTCAGCAACTAACTTGTGAAGTAACACTGAGGGCATGGCTCTGTTAACTGCTATTTCAAGTGGACTTTTGTTTTATCAACTTAAAAACAGAAATTGGACTAGATGATCTTTATAACTTCTTCCGTAGCTCCAGTAGTCTGTAATCTGCATTAAACCAAGTCAAGGGGAACTGTCACTAGACAAGTTCCAAGGAGGTTCTCCCATAAAAGAGATAGGGACCTAAACTCACCCTAGGTAAGTTCGTCAACTCTTGTCAGGATGCATTGGTGAGAGGTATAGTCAATTTATTAGAAAAGGTTAGAAAGTAAGAGAAAGTAGGGAAAAGTCTTTAGTTTGAGGAACTAAAAAGGGCACAATGCTGACAAAGAGGATCAGACTGCCCCATTCACAAAATAAGTGAAATAAATCAGACCTATATGTGCAAACATCGTATTGTCTCACTAGTGTGAGAAATTGAATGAGTAAACAAGGTCCAAAATTTACAATAGATATTGTGAATTGGGAGGAAACTGTTGTTTTAAAAAGATGAACCATGATGAGGAAAAGGGGAAGGAAGGAAGGAAGGGAAAAACAAAAAATATTTATACACATGATAGTTAAGACAGTTATACAGCTAGTTTCTCCTAGTTTATTGAAAAGAAAGCTTTGTGCTAATATTGTTTGGACCAGATATCATGCCTACCTCTTGTACCGCGAAAAACCACTATGAAGACAACAATAAGCAACATATTAATTATTGTAATGCTCTTGCTAACTTTTTTGAAACTTTTATTGTTATTTTTATTTTTTTTCCCTCTTACAAAAGAAAGAATAAAATTAGCCTTTGTGGATTAGCTGAGGTGGAGAAGGGCCTGATAGATCATTATCTTGTTCTGGTTTGGTAAGATGGTTCTGGGAAAAAGCCTTATTATATGAGGGCGCAGTTTGTTCTGTATGATATTTTTCTGCACGGGGAAGTTTAGGTTTGGGGAGGATCTGCCAGAATCCAAGATGACTATAAGCTCAGGGTAATGACTCCTCACTGGTAGTTGAATGGCTCTGTAAATCTCTTATCTTGATATCCTCAATCTTGAGGAAGGATGAGACAGTATACAAACTCAGGGCTAATCAACCTTGTTTTGCCAACTTTCATGTTATTTTTGACACTCCATAAAAGATGAACGAGCTTACATGCAGTTGAGAAGGGATTTAACATGGAGTTCTAATGTAATACAGCGTACAAAATGAAGAGCAAGCTTTTGCGTTGCTTTTCGTTACTGGACACTTGTAAGTTCAAATGAAGGATAATTTTTTTTTCTTAAGCCAAACTTCTTTTCAAATCCTGTATGCCTCAGAAGAAAATACAAGCAGAGGAAATCTTGTGGAAGGGGCTCATATATCAGGCAGGTGATAGGCCTACATGATCCCTAAGCTTTTACTTGTGAGACTGCCATCTGATGGTGGCCCTCACTTGAGCTGGCCTTCCAAGCCTTGCAAGAAGAACCTTGTGCCCTCTGTGACATAGAAGCAGCAACAGCCAATCATCTTGGCTAGAGCTGGGAAAACTAAAAACAGCCATCCCTTAGTTTGAGTTGAGCAGGTACGCTATCTGCATTTAGCATGTTAAGCAGTGAAGTCTTGAAGTTGGAATAACTTGATGAGGGCCAGTGTTCAAAATAGAACTTTGATTTAAAATAATGTTTGTTGAACTGTGATTCACACTTCATACAATTCACCCATCAAAGTATATAGCTCTGTGGGTTTTATTTTTATTTTTTTGGGGGGTTTTATTATATTTGTAGAGTTGTGCAACCTTCACCACAATCAGTTTTAGAAAATATTTATCATTCCAGAAAAACTTCTACAATTTCTGAAGAAATCAACAGTCACTATTTTACTCCAACCTCTTTGACCTACTCAGCCAGTAATATACTTTCTGTCTGTAGATTTGCCTATCTGGGACATTTCATACAAAAAGAATTATAACAACATATAACTCTTTGTGGCTGTCTTTGCTCACATAGCATTGTATTTTTAGGGTTTGTCTGAATTGTAACATGTATTTGCATTTCATTCCTTTTGGTTAAAGAGTATATTCCATTGCATGATAACCTACCTGTTTATTAACTGTTTATTCATTTTGTTTTTTCATTGGTCAGTTGATAAGTACTTGAATCATTTTTACTTTTTTTGGTATTATAAATAATGCTGCCACGAACATTCATTCACACGTGTCTGTGTAGAAATATATTTTCATTTCTCTTGGTTAGATACCTAGGAGTGGAATGGACAAGTCATATGCAAACTCTATGATTAACTGTTTGAAGAACAGCTACTCATTTTTACATAGTGGCTTGCCATTTTACATTTCTTCCAGAAATGTAGGAGTCCCCCACTTCTGTACTTATGCTTTACTGTCAGTCTTTAAAAATCACAACCATGATGGCTAGTGGGACAGAATAATCATTGTGACTTTGATTGGAATTTCCTTGGTGTCAAGAATTTTTTCATACAATTATTGGCCATTTTTATATCTCCAGAAAAGTGGCTATTCAGATCCTTTGCCATTTTTCATCAGGTTATTGTCTTCTTATTACTGAGTTATAAAAGTTCCTTATATGATCTACATATTATAGGCTTTTGAGACATATCATTTGTACATATTTTCTCTCTTTCAAGTGTATTATGGATATTTTGTGTTAAGGTTTTTATAAAAGTTTCCTGAAACACAAATATATATTTCCACAATTGTCATTTAAAGTATCTACTTCATAGATGTTTTGTCCAGTTTTTTGTTGTCTTTTTGTGGTTTACAATAAAATCTAAAGTCACAATATATTTTTTAAAACATCTAGTCTTTCTGGAGAGAATTTGGGCAACATGGCATGGTTTCAGAATTCCAACAAGCCATGAGCCCTCACACAAAAGAACTCAGGTGCTGCATGTGCCACTCAGAAATGCTTTTTCCTTCTAGGACTTCGAGGCCTGATGCTGTCAGTCATGATGGCCTCCCTCATGAGCTCCTTGACCTCCATCTTCAACAGTGCCAGCACCCTCTTCACTATGGATGTCTACACCAAGATACGGAAGAGGGCAACTGAGAAAGAGCTCATGATTGCAGGAAGGTGAACACAGCTTTTTAGTGCTATATACTATTGAAGCTTGAATGATTAGAGAGATTCCATTCCCACAAACCAGGGAAGATTTGGTATAATTGAAATAATCTCTTTGTCTAGTTATATTGGCTCCTGAGTGACAGTAAACTTTTTGTGTATGGTACTGGAGATTGAGCCTAAGACCTTTTACTGATTTATATACCCAGCCCCTTCTATGTTATTTTTAAACTTTGAGACAGAGTTTTACTATAGAAGGAACATAAGAGATCTGATATAGCCAGAAAGCTGAAATGAGGCCCATCACCCCTAAACCCAGACAATCTGTGCAGTGGCAGAGTCAGGACTAGGTCTGTGGCTTAGTAACTTGTTGCCCAAGATTCTGTGTTCCCCTCTTAGCCTTCCACACTGTGCCTGTACATATTGGCTTTCTTTGAAGCCCAATTGCCTTTGATTTCTCACCCTTTGATGATGCATTTTCCATTGTAAAGTCTTGTCTAGTGTTTCTAACTTTATTATGAGGAAGTGGGCTTTTTGTATGGTCTTGCCAGTAGCAAGTTAGCTATTGAAAGTCAAATGCATTTCCTTCTTTACGGCAGTGCAGTACTTCATTGTGTATAAATACAGGATTTTTTTTTATCCATTCATCTGTTGATGGACTTGTTAAGTGAAATAAATCAGACACATATAATTAAATATCACATGGTTTCTCTTATGTGAGAAACACAACACATAAACAAGGAGCAAAATAAAAGATAGATAATAGGAAGCAGGGAGATAGGTCTTTTGCAAAATATTTTATTGTATTTTTTTTTTTTTTTGGTTGAATTGTTTTTTTCGGAAGGGTTTATTTTTTGTTTTTGGTGCCAAGGGCTGAACAGTAGGCAAGCATTGTATTTCTGAGCCAAGTCCCCAGCCCCAATCTTTTGCAAAAGGAAAGAGGATCAAGAGATGTAGGGAGAGGAAAAATGAAGGAAAGAAGATGAAAAAAGAATTAAGATGTGTTATGCACAGGTATCAATTCCCCACGAGGCGTGTCATCACTATGTACTGCAAACAAGTACTGATAAAAATAAAAATTTAACAGCGATAGCAGCAAAAAGAAGGTGGCAAGATAAGTGGGGGGAAGGAAGGAGTCAAATGAGTTTTATGTACTTATAGGCACAGGTGACAAAAGACTGTAAGTGAATTTGTGCTAGTTTTCCTTGCTGTGGACATATTACATGTGTATATATTTGTATATAAATA